TGTGAGTCTTAATCTAGTTACAATAATTTCTAATTTGAGCATAGAAATTGTTCTCACGTCACGATGAAAAGTCAGAACGGCTGCAGAGATGTGTATGCAGATGCATTTTTTTATGCATTCATCGGTGCAAATTGGTGAACCACACTTATTTTGACAAAATTTAATTTGGAGATACATCTCTGTATCAATATTAGGATGTTGCAACATCTTTAGAATATTTTTGGTCGATCGCGCAATCGCCACATCCACTTTAATCAGACTCTTTGATAAGTAACAGTAAAATGTACTTCACATAACTTTTAAATCTTCATTCTTCTCCAGTTCAAGCTTGGTGAACAATATATTTCTTTTGTCGTCAATCGTGGGTGAAGGATACTCGAACTTGACAACTCTTCAATTTTCTGGATATCACAAGAAAGTATCCAATTTGGACTTCAGATCGACGAGATGTATGTCATCAGAGATCATTAATTGAAGTGGGGATTTTGTGCCATTAAAGTACACAAATGCAAGATGAGAATATGTATATACTCTAGGTTTTTTGTGTTTTTGTAAAGAACATGGGATGAGAGACCCTTTATTTATACAAGTTTTAGATCAATTTGGACCTTAGAAACAATATCCTGCCATCATGACATAAGGATTTTTACGGAGATACATATTCTTAAAATCCCACTTTCTAGGTTTTTTTTACAATTAAAATGGAGCGTGTCCTGAGATTCATATACGAAATCACCTCTACAGAGTAGTGTTTATACAGAACCAATATATATGCAGGGCCAAATTTTGAAATAGAAAAAGTGTCTAAAAATTACCCCCAAATTATATAACATTAATGTAGAATATACATTATGTATGTTTCAAATTGTATCGAAATTACATCATTGACAACATTACTTTTTAAGAAAATGTGTTACATTATTAGATAAAAACTAAAATGTACCAAAACATGTGTCACCACCTAAATCTATATCTATCGGTGGTTCATTTTTTAAAAATCTTTCCTTATTTGATGCTTTTTCAATGTCAATCAACTTGGTGAACTCTTTCATCCTTTTCAAAAATTGATTTGGGCAAGTTTCAGCTTCTTTTGTGAAATATGTCATCCACTCTGGTGTTGTCTTTGGTATAGAAAACCTCGGTTTCAAATAAACTTAAAAAATGTTGTATTTTTAAAAGCCACCCAATACATATGATGCGTTCGGATGAATTTTAAGGTGACTCACTCCGAAGTGGAAAAAATGTTTCTAAGAACCATATCTTGTTAGATAAATACACACCCCTTATTATAAGCATTTTCTATAAGATATCTCATTCCAGGGCCGTGCATCCATTTTTCAAACAATGTTGAACCACTAACACAAGGAACAAGAGCATTGTAAATTGCACCATAATTTTCTTTTTCCACGTATAGCGATGTGTATGATTTCCTATGCATCGTCAACTCTTGAATAAGTTGATGATAAAAAGGTTGGTGGTTATCCTCTCCTTTACTGAGCAAACCTGAAACAACTCGAAAACCATAAAATTCGTCACCTCTAACACCTACGATCCGTTTTTATGCATAAAAGTGACATATTTTCAATGTAGATGATTTTTGGTAATTGTAGTGGGAGAGATGGTTTGCTAACACGAGCGCCCTTGAAAACATTTATTTTTAGATTTAGGAGTTGGACAATCCGGAAAATACGAGTCAACAAGTTCAAAGTAAGAAGGAAATTGTCTCGTAGAATTGTTACTCTTGGTCGGTTTGACATTTTTAGGGGAACCATTCATTTTAACCGACTCCGAAGGTGGTTTCATGATAGAAAATCTTCCTTAACTGCTCTTTGATGTACAATTTTATGTTGTCATCAGCTTTCATGAATCTCTCTTGGATCACTTCTCACTCTCTCATGATAGATAAGTTTGATTTATCATCCTTCATCATATCATCATCATCATCAATCCAGGGCCTTTTTCAGTGAGTGTAAATCTCATTCATATGTATCAGTGTGTCGACCTTAATTTTCTTTTCAATTAAACAAAATCACATGGAAGATCATGGGTCTTCCTATGTGTACAATCAAACTTTGAGCTATCTTAACCTATTTTATATACTTGTTTGGCTTCGTAAAGAATAAAATTCAATCTCACCCGAGATATGATGCCAACCAACTATGAATAAAGAATATTGTATTTGACACAGGAATGCTCCAACCAAAAGATGTTTGTATCTTCTCATTATGTTGGTTTCAGAGCATTTAGCTCACGACGTCCCAATCTTGACAGAAATCACATTTATTGTTTCTCAACTAATTCTTCAGTGTAGCATGTGCAGATTTAACTTTGTTAGTTGATTTATTGCCAAAGTGTCTAACCTGATAGGTAAAGGCACAAATTTTCTTTTCCTTCACCTGGTCCAAAATAGTACTCTCAATATATTTTAGGAAATTTAGATATCTCGCACAGACCTTCCTTAAATATATTACAGATTCGACATATAACTCTTCTGTGGAAGAATTTTTTAACCATTATATGCATCCATTATCTTTTCCAATAACACACCAGGTTTGACCATTTTTCCATTTTCACCCTTAATTTGTTTGGTGTCTACCGTAGGTTTTAGCCGACTTCTCGCATTTTTGGTTATATGATATTTATAAAGTAATGCATACGACATAGGAAACATCTTTGCAACCAAATTCATCAGTGTGGTGCTGCGACTGGTGACAATTACAATTTAAGGCATCACTACGACCACCATCCAAAAACTCATCAAAGCATTTGATAACAAGCAGCGGAAAATCATAGCACAACAACTTCAAAATTAAATTCGCAATTAAAGTATTAGAATTTAAACCACATAATTCAACATTAAATAAAAAAACATAGCAAAAACATTTAGTTCTCGATGTTACAATATTAAAGCACTAAAACCATTAAATTGCAATAAATGATAAGTAAATGAAGAATAACTCCAACAAGCCACCTTCTATACATAACAACAACTTTACTCCTGATTATCTGCAATATGCCCATGGTGGACAATATCAAGAAAAAAGGGTGAGAAATAAACTTTAATATAAAGAATACAACCAACATATTATACATTCAGTACACAACCAACATCATCACAATCTCACACCCATTCCACAATAACATACTCATATATGCAATGCAACTCATGACACAATGTGACACTATGCATGTGGTACCAACACAACATTTGGTTCACTCAAGAACCGGGTCCCCCTCCTGAACCTAAGAGCCCCCATCTGAGCTCTAGGCCCCTCACTTCTGAGCTTGGGATAAGTCACTAGTCCCCCCTTATGAACTAGCGCACATGCCTTTTTCAACGACACGACACAATGATGCATGTTAATACAAATCAATGCAACAACAATAACAACGCTTATGACCCTCTTCTAACCATAAGCAACATTCATTGACACAAAATAGTAATTCCCCCTTATGGACTACTATCTGACAATCATAACAATAATGCATACAAGCATACAACTAGCCCCCTTCTAAACTATTTACCATCACATCAATAATACATAGTTAATCACCATATAATCATGCATATCACAACAATACTAGTTATTTTTACATCATATACCACCACAAAAACATCATCATATGATGGTGGTTGAATGTCAGATTCTGAGGAGGTGGTTGGTGTGCAGGAGGTAGAAGATACTTGAAACACAGTTTTTAATGGTGTGACATCAAGAACTTCTGTCTCAGGAATGTTGGGTTCAGAAGTATTGGTTGGTTCTGAAGGAATTTCGGAGGGTTTTGAAGGTTGTTCTAAGGTAGGTGGATCAGATGAAACTGGAACAAATGTTGTTTTTGTAGGTTTAGAAATAACAGGTACAGATGCAGTGGGTTCAGATGATTTGGATGGTGGATTATCTGATGGTGGTTGATTTTTAGAGGCTTTTTCTGGTAGGGTTTTAGATGATTTTTCTGGTTGCTTTTCTTGTGGGTGCTTTTGTTGTTCAGATGGCTTTTGTATAAAAGGTGCAGAGGGTTGTTGTTAAGCAGATGGTTGTGGTTGTTGTTCTGTAGGTTGTTGTTCTGATGGTTGTTTCTGTGGTACAGATTGTTTGATTTGAATTTTTGGTTGAGTTGTTTGTGGTACAGAGACTTTTGGAGTTTGAATTGTTTTTGTTGTTATTGGTGTTGGAACAGATGATTTTTCAGGTGAAATGGAAATTGGATTGGAAGATTTTTGTGGTGATGGTGTAGAAACATGAGATGAAGCAGTAACAGATGTATTTTGTGTAAAGGGTG